TTTAGTCCTGGTTTAGACCTGGTTTAGTCCTGGTTTAGTTCTGGACTGGATTAGTCCTGGTTTTAGTCTTGGTGTTAGTTCTGGTTCAGAGGCGCACAGGAGGAAGCGCGGTTTACGCAGCGTACGGGAGAAAACACGATCCACACGCGGCTCACGGGAGCACGTCGGTGTCCGCGCAGTAACTACGGAAGGAAACGTGGTCCGCGCGTTCTCAGGTTAATGACGATGATGAAGGTGTGTGTTTGTTTGTGTGTGTGTGTGTTTGTGTGCGTGTCCCCTCATGTGGCAGGTCACTATAGGACAGTAGTGCAGACATCATGAGCCTATGCAGGTTGTTTTCAGGCGATTTTATATTTGTTATTTTCTTTTATATTTCACGTCGGGAGAATAATTTCCAAGACACGAATGTGTTTTTACCTGTGCACTGCTGCCTCTGTTCTACTGGCTCTACGACCTCGTCCATTGTGCGACTGACGCCGCCAACGTGAACAAGACGTTTACATCGCTGTTACTGCGCGTGTTTTGTGTGGCTTTCCGGCAATGAGTGGAATTACTGAAATAAAAAAATTTATAAATGTGTTTTGTGTGTGTGTGTGTTGTTGTTGTCCCAACAACACATAAAAACAGGTTTTATAATAAAGAAACCCACATACAGAAACACTAAAGTTAGAGATTAAAAATGAGATTAACGCGATTAAAAAACATAACACGCTAAATATGACTGTAATTAATTAATCGCAATTAACGTGATAATTTGACACCCCTAGCAATACTTTGAAGTATTAGTACTCTTACTTGACTCCACATGTTGGCTAATGATCCCACTGTACTGTGCATATGAATGCATGGGACATAGACAGAATAAATTGACAGACCACAGCACGTTTTTGCACATTTGTATTTGCGTCCCAGGACATATGCATAGAGTATACAGTTAGAATACAATATTTCAACATGTTTTACAAAGATCTGAAGAGTATAGGAAACAAGAAATAAAAATGATAACTGCACAGCAGTAAGAAGGTCATTCGAGTATATATTGTCATTTATCGCACACACTGTGGAATAGCTCAGAAACACAGGGCAAAAATAAACACCATTAACAATTGAGCGCTATATTCAATTTACACAAAAACCCTTTACTCAGGAGTGTCACACACACCCCTTTACTCAGGAGTGTTTCAGTTCAAATCACATTGGCCACTTTGACATGTATTCATTTGGATTTTGCCTTTGCCACCACAGTCCTATAAGCACACAGCACAGACACTCAAAACAATGCACACACCTAAACTGCAACAGAAAGAGTGAGCTTCTGGTCACAGCATCTACAGCACAGAACCACCACTCCGATTACACACTGTGTCCAGCACTATCTGCATGAGAGTCCACCTGCCACAATACCAGCCCCACTACATATGCATCAGGGATAAGGCACGACTTTGGTCAAAGAAAGGCTTGCATCAACTCTGTTCAGGAGAGGAGACCACCATCAATCACGGCAGAGACAGGACAAGTCTGCAATCTAGGCCTGGTCTAGACTTGGTCTAGGTCTGATGTCGTCCTGGTTTATTCCTTGTCTGATCTTCTATTCTGCCTAGTTAGGAGATGTGACTGTACATCTAATATTGAGTTAGTCCCTGTTTGCAGTTTAGTCTGGTTTGTATGGACGTTGTTTAGTACTGATCTAATCTAATAATTTCATACTTCATAATGGTTTAGTCCTCATTTAGCTCTGGTTTAGACCTATTTTAGATCTTTTTTTCATCATTCTTATTTGGGAGAGGAGATTGTTATCATCCTTGTTCAGACCTGGTTTGGTTCCTTTTGGTTTCTGAGACCAGACTTCAGTTAACAGAAGACGTGATGGATCTACAGTCCATGTGTAATTAGGATCAAGACCGCCCCCTGCTGATGTCATTACACCGAGTGGCAGGGCTCTGCACCGGCCAGTGCCAAGGGCAGCCTGCTCTGGATCTGGGCTAAGCTTCAACTCTCCTGTTCCTCTTACCCTACAGTCCTGACATAGTTTGTCCTTGTTTAGTCCTTTTAAACTTAATCTTAATCTGTTTAGTTCAATTTCAGAATCAGTTTTGTAACATTATATTCATGGGTTTCAGTTTCCTATTAGCTGTGCCATTTTAAGGACTTTTGTTGTAAACTGTTAATGCCACAGCAAGCCATGGTAATCAAACAAACATGTACTGAATGGCAACAATTTGTGATATCTGCACCTAATTAGCCTTAATACATCAGAAAGACTCTATTTAAAAACTTTGCTCATTTTGAATGAAGTCTTTTTTCATACATTATTAAGGCTAATGTAAGGTGTAGTTTAGTCCTGGTTCAGTCCTGGTTTATAACTGGTTTATTGAGTCCATATCTAGTCATTTCTTTGTGTAGACTTTTTGACAGTCCTTTATCATCTCCTCCTGTCTTCTCTGCCCCATCATCTTCACCAGGACCAGATAGACTACAGTTAAGACTTCTGTGAAACCTGTAATTTATCGATTACAGATGACGGCATCTAATTAAGCGTGAGATCTCCATCCCACTCCCCTCCCCTGCCCCATCCTCACACCCCATTACAATATTATTATATACATGATTACCTCTTTCTATACACTGCAAAAGTAAAGCTACAGCAGGTAAAATGACTCCTGTGAACAGTTTTTAGAATGGCCCTCTGATCTGACGTGTTTCAAGGCATTTCTTTTAGTCTATCATGTCAGATTTAGCATTTCTTTATGGGGGTAGCAATGGCTTAGTGGCTAGAGCGTTCGCCCACAAACCCAAAGGTCAGTGGTTCAGCTTCAGCTCCAACCTATCCTTATAGCCCATGTCCTTGGATTAGATACTTCACCCACCTTGTTAGAATCAAGTGTGTGTTAGAACTGGTGGTGGCGGGAGGGGTCAATAGTGCACATTGGCAGCATTATTTCTGTCAATCTGCCCCAGGACAGGTGTAAAATTAATGAGTACCCAATAACTATACCATAATTAGCCTTAATTCATACTAAACAAAGTTTATTAAAAATGATTCAGGCTCAGTAACTCCTCTATTAGGGCGGTAGGGTTAAAGGTTCTATACAATGCAAATTTGACTATTTTGAGCTTCAAGTCATGTTGTAATGCTGTTACCTCCTCAAAAACAGACCTGGAGTTGTATTTTATTTCATTCACATGTTTCAGTAATCCTTTATCGTTAGTCTGTCTACATCTCCAAAGCTCAAAATGTTCTGTTCCACCTTGTGATGTCATATAGTGGTCATTTTCAGGTTAGAAATTAGCAATTCCAGGTCTGAAATTATCCAGTTTTAATAGATTTTAGTGAAGGGTAAGTTCTGAGTAGTAAAGGGTAAGTTCTGAGTAGTGAAGGGTAAGTTCTGAGTAGTGAAGGGTAAGTTCTGAGTAGTGAAGGGTAAGTTCTGAGTAGTGAAGGGTAAGTTCTGAGTAGTGAAGGGTAAGTTCTGAGTAGTGAAGGGTAAGTTCTGAGTATCAAAGCACAGTATAACACTTCTTGTATTACCACACGACATCACAAGGTGGAACAGAGTGTTTACTGTTTGAGAGAAGAACTGCAGAGTGTGTGTGTTAAACACGTGTGAAAAAAACAAAACAAAAACACAACTCCAGGTTAGTTTGTGATGAGGAAACATTATAACATAGATCAGAACATAGCATAATATAATACATAATAATAACTTTATAATATATAATAATAACTTTAAATAGTTATTAACCCTAAATCATTCTTAATAAGCTAAGTGTTCATTATGAATTAAGTCTTTGTTGCTCCAATTGGTCAAAACTGTTCAGATCAGCAAATGCTTTCCATTAGTCATTTTAACTGATATATTTCTGAAACATTTTCTTAACAAAGAATACATATGAACAGTACCAAATTATTATTAACATCAGCAATAAGCAGCTAGCTTTAGAGGCAGAGTGTTCCATGACAATAGGAAAAATACAAGATATTAAAAAACAAACAAACAAACAAAAAAACAACAATAATATTAACAATGCATTTGGAAATTGTCTCTATATTGCTCCATCGCTACTGTTTAAGAACTCGTGAGCGGACATTATTGCAGTGCTAAGATAGATGGATGAAATCAGGAAAAGACTAGAGTAAAGAACTTAACTGTAAATAGTGAAATTAAGATAAATGATTTGTATAAAATGTGTTGTGTGCTTTATTTGCAGTGGAATGTATCATGGCACTGTACAATAAAGGGACACGGACTACTGTGCTTTTCAGTCAAAAACTGGATTCACTACATTTTCATGGCTTGTTGCTGGAAGTCATTTAGATCTATGGTTATGCAATTGTTAATCTTGGCCATTATGAGATGTTTTTGCATGTTCTGCCTCTGTCTGGGTGGGTTTATTCTACTGTTTCCACTTTATAACATGCACAAGAGAGCTGGCTACTCCTTACAAACTTTAACTTCTTAGGTTCTTTTTAAAGACAATGCAGTAAAGTGTATTTACCTTGTTGACATGTTTCGGCTGCTAGCTGCAAGCCATCTTCAGAACTGTCACCGGTGTTGGTGGTGACGTGTCGTATATCAACTGTTGTTACTTCCTGTAGGCGTGGTCAGCCTGATGGACCTGGCAGGTCACTCAGACTGACCACGCCCGTCGCCCGGTGTTCTCTGGAGGAGGGTGTCCCAGGTGTGTGAAAGGAGGAATGCTCTGTCATCACGGTTAATGCTGTCCGTGCCTCATTTCCTGATTTCAATGGCCTCCTTGATCCAGCGTTTGAACTTGTTGTTTTCTGATCCAATGACCTGAGCCCTGTCCCAATCCATAATGTGGTTGTTCCTTTTACAGTGTTCTCCTCCAGAGAACACCGGGCGACGGGAGGCGTGGTCAGTCTGAGCGACCTGCCAGGTCCATCAGGCTGACCACGCCTACAGGAAGTAACAACAGCTGATATACGACATATCACCACCAACACCGGTGACAGTTCTGAAGATGGCTTGCAGCGAGCAACCGAAACATGTCAACAAGGTTAACACACTTTACTGCATTGTCTTTAAAAAGAACCTAAGAAGTTTAAGTATATAAGATGACAAAATGAACATCATTGGCCTACTCCTTACAAAGTTACTACTAGTGTACATATGTCGGATTTTTCACCAGTTACACATGAGATCTGTGGAGAGGCGAGCCAGCACATGTTAAGAATATGTGTATTTCAAGGTATTTCTGAACAACAATATCACCTGCAACTGAATAAATGCAAAACGGACATGCTTAATGCATTACTGTGGAATATTTCAAGCAAAGCAATAACATCTCCATGGACACAGGCAGGATGCAGACTCCAGAAAAAAAGTTCCATTGTGTATCTTTAAAGTCTGACTTTGCTCTTCCAGCAACAAGCCACTGTGTCGACTGGTGTCAATCATAGGAGACCAAGTCCTAGTTGGGTCCCTTTTTGGTCTCTGGTTTTGGTCCAAGTCCTAGACCAAGATCCAGTCCAGGCTCCAGTCCAGGGAGAGTGGGCAGTAGGCATCCTGTGTGCATTATCCACCCCCCTCTCATTTTCACACTCATACATAATGTACTATATATATACGCATCATAAAAACACCACATACTTGATCCATTTTAAAAAGATATTCTCATTATTATTATTATAAAGCTCTCCTCGGAAAGACTGCACCATAAAAAAAATATAGAATACAATTTTAAAACCTTTTTTCTACATGAAAAGAAATTGAACATCTGATTGGATCCTGTGACAGTAAGGGGCATAGGTCGCTGCAATGCAGTCTGGGAAAATGTAGAGTGTGTGTGTGGACCTTTAGAAGGTTGGCAAAGTAGTTTTAAGGCATACCCATGACAGAGGAATTATCATTTTCATTCAGAAGTTCAGACAATTATTTCACCTTTTCAACTTTATAAATGAAAGTGACACACTATGGAAATGTACTTCTCTTCATTTCCATCAACAGATTGCTCCCATGAAATTTCAGCTGTCACTTAGTCCTGGTTTAGACTTGGTTTAATTTAGGATTTGACAAAGTTCTGAATGTTTTTGAGTCCTGGTTTAGTCCAGATTTAGACTTGGTTACGTCTTTGTTTGGTCCTTTATTGGTCCTAATATAAACCTAATTTTGTCTTTATTAGTTCTAGTATAAACATAATTAAAACCTTGGCAATAGTCTTGATTTTAGTCGCGGTTTAGTCCTCCAGTGCAGCCTGTTTTGACTTGCTAGTCTTTAATTAGTTCTAGTTTGGTGGACATGATTGAAGTTTAGACCATAATCCAGAAGACCTTGCTAATAGTCTTGGTTTACTGGTTTACTTTCAACAGACTTGATTTAAACCCAACTTTGAGAACAAACCTGCACCTAAAAGTAAAACAGACCTATTCTTCTCATAGTGTCTCACCTTGGACCCGAGCTATGCCCCTGTAGTCACTGGCAGTATCCGTAGACCCCACCCTCCCCGTCCCTCCCGGCAATGCGTTAGAGATCCGTCACTTTGTTTTCCATGGTGGCTGCTATGTGCTGTAGCCGGTGGGTGAGCTGTTTGCTCTGTGCAGCGGGGTCTTCGTCCAGGGACGCGATGATCTAAAAGACGACAGACAGGGACATGAGGTACAATGAAGGGAGATGTAGAGGAATAAGTAGTACCGACAGGGAGGACAGAGGGGCGAGGGAGTGGACAATGGACACAACAAGAAAAAGCAGAGAAATAGACATGGTATTTGAATTATTAATAGCAATACAGAGCGGCTGCACAGTTTTTGAAAAATATAAATATATTTTCTTGCTGCTTATATTTAGTTGCTATAGCAAGATTCTGGTCTTATTTTAGAAGTCCTATGTTATGCAAAATTGACTCTTGTGAGCTTTTAGCCATGTTTGTTACATCCTCAAAAACAGGCCTGGAGCTCGTTTTGTTTCATTCATGTTTAACACACAAACCCTGAAGATTTCCACTGTTCCACTTTGTGATGTCATGTGGTAACACTTCACTAGAACCATTTGGATGATTTCAGCTGTGGAATTTCAAATCTCTACTGAACAAATGGTAAAAAGTGTCAGTTAACTTGGAAACTACTACTTCCTGACATCACCAGATGGAACAGAGCATTTTGAGTTTTGGCGATGTAAACAGACTAGTAATAATGGGTTATTCAAACATGTGTAAATGAAGCGAAACACAACTCCAGGTTTGTTTGTGATCAGGAAACAGCACTATAACTTCACTTTAAGCTCACAAGAGTAGATTTAGCGTAATATAGGACCTTTAAATAAATGCAGTCATTCAGTCAAGTGTGTTAATATTTGGAGTGAAATATCTGAAAAAAAACAACAAACATTGTCGTTTTTGTCATGGTTTAATATTTTCCAAAGTGTTTCGAGCTAGGCCCTGAGCCTAAAAGCTTCCTGATATAGACTCCCACTTTTGCAGCTTGACAGACATTTGTTTACTTGTTCATTAGATTTTGTTTATCCAGTTTACTGACCCACAATGGATGCTTCAAAAATCAATTCCCAGAGCAATTTTCCAATTCACATCCCACCCAAATGTTTTCAATTAAAATTTTGTACAATCACTCTTCTGGTATATGGAGAGTGAAGCCAGGGGAGTAAAATGGAAAGGCAATAATATGGTGGGCAGTAGTGCGTTCAGTGGAAAAGGGCTCTGGGCAAGATATGAAAAAAGCACAGGAAAATGTCTTAACTGAGCGTGGTACGAGCAGATATGGCCAATTTATTTGTAAATTAATTTAAATTTAAATTTTGTTTACTTTTAATATGCATTTTTTAATTCAAACTTTATTTTGTCTACAAATAAATGCACTCAAGGTCAAGGTCAGCCTTGCTTCTGTCAGTCTGCTCCAGGGCAGCTGTGGCTACAATAGTAGATAATAATAATAATAATAATAATAATAATAATTATTATTATTATTAAAGCAGTTGTGGTGGTCAAAGCGCTTTACAACAAGGAACCACACACCCATTCACACACCCATTCACACACCCATTCACACACCCATTCACACACACATTCACACACACATTCACACAGACACTGTGGGCAAGGTGGGTTAACACAACAGCAGCATTCATCTGTGGGAGCTGGAATCACACCAGCCAACCTGTGGGTCAGTGGATCTGACTGCTCAACCTGTGATTTTTATGTCGAGAGCTGGAATCAAACCGCCAACTTTCAGATCAGTGGGCGAATGCTCTACCAACTGAGCTACTGCCGCCCACCCTAGTAGTACCAGTAGTAGTAGTAGGTGTATATGTCTTACCCCGTCATAGTATTTGCTGGCGTACTGGTACAGTTGATGCAGAGCCACTTGTGTGTTGAGTTTGTCTGTGTGAGCCTGAAAGAAACACAAGTCACTAACACAAATAAAAAAACACAAGTACATACTCATATCGGTATAGTATTAACTTTTACACACTGATGGCATTATACATTCTCTTACCAATATGTAACATTTTATATTATCAATTATATTAGTTTTTCTTATATAGCCTGAAGAGAAAAATAAATCCCTCAGTGACAATGTATGTGCAAGAAACAACATGAATTTAGAACATTTTAATTGAGCAAAATAATAGATGTTGTCTTTTGTTTATGGTATGGCTACTTAGTAACAGTTTTGGAAATAGCATGGTGTCCCTTGTTTCAAATTTCAGTAGATACAGGGGATATACCTTTGCTCTGTTATCACCCCTGTACCAAAGAAAACCTGTCCTAAAGAGAACAATGACTTCAGGCCTGTGGCCTTGACATCAGTGACTATGAAATAATTTGAACGCTCTTGTAACTACTGCCCATTTAATACTGAAACACTTAGAGGATCCTTCATCATATGCCAGAATATTGTTCATGGATTTCAGCTCAGCATTTAATACAATATTACCAAGCATCCTGGTAATTGGGGTTCCTCACAGGAAGACAGCAACAAGTTAAGGTTAATTCAACGCTGTCAGATATTCAGGTTGTCAGCACTGCAGCACCACAGGGCTGTGTTAGCTCACCTCTTCTTTTGATTTGTACACCAATATGTGCAGGAGTAAACAGGTAAACAACTATATGTACTTAAGTTTTCTGATGACACAGCTATTCTTAGTTTACTCAATAAAAGTACAGATGTGATTAGCTACAAGACAGAAATTGATGAAGTGGTGCATTGGTGTGAGGAGCACAACCTTGTCTTAAATGTGGAAAAGACAAAAGAGATGATTTTTTACCCCAAATCTGTAGGGAACCACAGCCCCATTGATATCAGGGGAGGGACATAGAACAGGTGACATGTTATAAGTACTTGGGTGTGTTCTTTGATTCTCAGCTCCAATGGAGCCACATGTACAATCTGTCTGCTCAAAAATCAGCCAGCGTCTTTTTAAACGGCTTAGGTTACATGGAGTGGATACAAATGTTGATGTTTTACAGAGCATGCATGGACTCAATTTTACGTTATGGCATGTCAACATGGTTTGGTAACCTGTCAGTCAAACTTAAATCACAGATTTTTACCTTGACTAAAAGAGCGGGTAAAATAATGGTGTGGCCCCAAAGCTCAGTTCAGCAAATTTTCAGAGAGACTGTTAGGCTAGGCAAGAAGAAGCCCAGTGACCAAAGCCAAATCAGACAAAGTTAGGCAGAATTCAGGGTCATCTGTAAACAAAGATTCAAACATGTTTAAAAGGTTAATCTGCAATTTAGGCAGTTGTAAAAGGCTTAGGGAACATGCAATCAAAACTGCTCGGAATGGGCCAATATTGGGCTGTCCTGTAAAGAATATTAAAGGTCCTGCATCACTCGTTACTTGGTCTTGTATCCATATTGTTCTATGGTGCTTGTGGTGCTTTGTGGTGCTTTGTGTTGTGTTTTTTGATAAAGCATGTTACCCCCCTGTCCCAAGACAAATTTTCTCCCATGGGAGACAATAATGGATTATCTTATCTTATCTTACCTATATGCACAAACTAATGTACATTACAAAATTGTCAAAATTTGTGCATCAATATTACAGAAATCTTTTATTTTTAAATTGATGAACTCTTTCTTTTACAAAATATTATAATATTTTATATAATATAATATATTATGAACAACCTGAAACTTTAAGAAAAATACAATTTCAACACAATGTTTTAACATGAACTTGTATGCAGAAAGGAATAAGTAAATTTTTCTTCGAAAATCCTGCACTCGGCTGCACTTTTCTCATTTTGGACATTTTTCTGATGAGGGTGTCACGGTCAACAGTCAAATCGATCATCCTTTAAGAGCGTTTGGAAAGAGACAAGTCTTCATTTGTGCTGCTCTGGTGGGAGGGGCCACGTACAGAGGCGCTGGAGATGCTGATATGATAAACACTACAGAAAATTACCAAGATTTTAATAGAAAATATAACAAAAATATTTTAGTAGAAAACCAGTCAAGGGCCAGATTAAAGGTCTTGGAGGGCCGGATCTGGCCCCCGGGCCGTAAGTTTGACACCCCTGCTGTATGATATAGCCTAAAGTATCATCACATATCACAGATTGAATGATGTCTGATTTACAATACGTTTCCTCTCCTCACTATGTACTCCTTAATTGTAAAGCTATCATTGCATAAACCGACAAAAAATACAACGTAAAGGTTATAAGTAAAGCCCTACAGCACACTTAACTGTGTTTTTCAGGGTTTAAAAATATCACAGTAAAAAGTGTGTGACATGAATGAAGGAACAAACAAAGTAACCTTTAGAAGAGGCAGCATCATTAAATAAAGTTTGACGTACTGGAACTTTGACAACTGCAAGAACTAATATAAGTACTACCATTTCCTACTATGACATTATGAAGTATTATTTATTTCCTATTATAAAATACACACTATACTGTTATGTCAGCCTAATGTGTGTTAAACTTCTACAGATTAGCACAACGTGTTAGAATAAGAATAAGATCAATGACAATGAAAATGTTAGAACACATGAACATTTAGTAGGAGCAATATCATTAGTAGTAGTAGTAGTTTTAGTAGAGTATAAATAATAGATAATAATAATAGCAGTACTGGTAGTTATAGTAGTAGTAATAGTATCACTAATGGTAGAAATGGCATTTAACAGTAGTAGTTGTACCAGTAGTACTACACAACAGTAGTAGTACTAGTAACAACAGTGGTAGTCGCAGGTATTGGCATTAAAACTAGTAGTAGTATATGTTACTGTAGCAGTATCAGTAGTATGAGTATCAGTAGTAGTTGTCATTGTAGCAGTAGGAGTAGTATCAGTAGTAGTAATACTGTCAGTAGTAAATTCTCACCCTGGACACTTCGGCCAAATGTGTGTTCATGTCTTGGTCGCTCACAGGTACCATCTGCCTGATCCCCTTGTAATAACTGTAATAAGACACACACACACAAACACACACAAACACACACACACACGCACACACACGCACACACACGCATGCACACACACACACATGCACGCACGTGCGCGCACACACACACACAAACACACACACAGCATTAGGATAACACGACCTGAGAGATCATCTGTGCTATGGATGATGGAGTCTACTCACTCGTCCACCATCTTCTTGTAGGTGGAGATCTCCTTTGCATAGAGTAGTTTGTTACTCGGAGAGTCCTACAAATAACAAGAATCCAATTGTTAACACTCACAGGCATGGTGAGAAAAGGTCACACATACAGTACTATGGAACTTTAAGGGCTATGAGGGTATACAAGTTATAGTTTTGCTGACCCGGCTGAGTTTGTGCTCGCTCTTGGTGCACGCGTCCATAAATGTCTGAGCAATGACGGACAGAGCGGCGTCCACCACCTCTGTCACGTTTACGTCAAAGATGAAGTGAGGATTCTTCAAGATGTTTACCCAGAAACGCAGAGGCAGACTGTGACACAGAGAGAGAGAGAGAGAAAGGAGAGAAGAGCCAGAAACAGAGATGAAGAGAGACAGAAGGAACAAAATGTCATTAGTATTACTCCTTTATTATTTACTTAATAAGGGAGTAGAATTGAATAAAATAAACCACTACTACATGTAGTGCTCTGAATGAATATTACTTCTTACACAGGTAGAATCAAGTCGTTGTTTTGCAAGTCTTTGACCTCAAGTCCCAAGTCAAATGCAGGCAAGTCCAAGCTGAGTCTCGAGTCACTGGCCCATAAGTCCAAGTCATCAGCTTTGAGCTTTAAGTCAGTTCAAGTCTTTAAACCAAAGCACCACATACATAAAAAGTCACAGAATATTTATATATGAGTATTTATGTAAGAGTGGTAGAAATGCTAATTTTCCCTTTTTAATTATCTTGACAAGATCTTAGAGTGAATCATTACAGTCAAAACAGAAAGAAGATTTAAAAGTGCTTAATAGTTATTTTGTCATCTAGTCTACACTCATGTAGTTCCTTCTATTTAACTGCATTGTATTGTAGTTGTACTGTATATTACTATAGTACATTTGAGGATACCATATCACAGTACTTCAGTTACATTCAAAGTAACAAACAGAAAAGTGGGAGTGACATGTTCCAGTTTATTCCTGTAAATTTAAGCACAGCATTTATCAACTTTTATTTAACAAGTATTTTCTAAAAACATAGGCATAGGCCTCAAGTCAGTCAAGTCCCAAGTCACTGACCTTCAAGCCCAAGTTGAGCCCCAAGTCTTAGTCAATTTTATCAGTGACTCAAGTCTGTCTCGAGTCCAAATCACGACTCGCAGGTCCCCATGTCCGCTTCTTAATAAACTAATCTGAAAGAAACTAGCTCTGAAAGCGCTGAGATGTGGTATGAGATTATATATTTAAGTGAAACTGTGAACTTGTCTGTAAAATCTACATCTGACACATATTTGTGAAAAAATAGAAAGACTAACTCCACTCAGACACCCTCGTATATGGCAGGACATGCAAACTACCTATAGTGAGGCTCTCTGGGTGTTCACGTATATGCAGTAGTTTAAAGTACATTTGACTTGACATATGTGATTTTTATGTTTTTCTTATGGATTGGTCTGGTAAGATAGTACCTATGCTTAATAATGATCCTATAGAATTATACCTTTATATTAATTAAATGTCAGTTTGTGGACAAAAAGTTGCAAAGAAAAGTGTAAATCTAAATCTGAGTTGTAAAACAGAATCCCTCTCTCATTTGTTTGTAAAATCTAAAATTTAACAATGTGAACTGTGTTTCAGTGAAGTGAGTCTAACCATCATGCGCACTTTAAATGACTGTCTCCTGGGGTTTGACATCATCAGCTAAACACTGTCATCAACCATGTGTGTGCGTGTGCATGTGTGCGTGTGTGTGTGCGCATGTGTGCGCGTGCATGCATGCAAATATGTGTGTCAAAAGTGCTAAACTGCCCAGGAGGTCTATCCTCACAAATGACCAACAGAAAACTAAAGACGCTGACAAGATGTCTTGGGAGGAGGGACTCTTTTGGCAAAGCCAATCTGACTTTGAACTGCATAACCTAACTACACATTTGTGTATTTGTGTGTCATGTTTTACTTTTTGGAACAATGTTCTTATTTAGTTATACATTTAATTTCCTACTACTCAACTTCCAACTTCAAATTTCCCCTCAGGGAAATGTTTGAGTTGAATTACTAGATTTTTTTGGCCAGTAGCTAATCACTCACACAATCTGCTTTGCCCAGTTGAGGTTTCCCTGGTGTATTTTGTATCCCTAATTCAGTGATGATCAGAGGGTTAGAATGCATACAGCACAATAGAGACATATATGAAGACGCTCACATGCAAATTCACTCCACACACTTTTTTTGTTTTTTTAAGAAAAATTACCACTAACTGTAGAGGAATTTAAAAACGGATTTGGGACTGACTTGCCAAATTTACCAAACAAAGTGTATTGTAGTTGAAGAGAGATGGAGGCAGGGTGGATGAAACAATGAAAAGTGCTTTATCACAGCATAGACTGCAAAATACATCATGTTGGTAACTATGGTAACTATGGTAAAACTTGCCTGGAGTTGTGTTTCATTTCATTCGTCTGAACACGTTTGAATAATCCTTTATCTACATCTCCCATGCTCAAAATGTTCTGTTCCACGTTGTGATGTCATTTAGTGGTAGTTTTCAAGCCAACAACTCCTTTTACCTTTAGTTCAATAGGGAATGGCAATTCCATGGCTGAAATTATCCAAATGATTCTAGTGAAGGTGTATGGTGTTTAAAAACACAGTGGAGCACTTTCTGTACATGACATCACAAGGTGGAACAGTGTGTGAGAGAAGAACTATGTAGGATTTATTAGGCCCGAGCGCCAGAGGCTGGCGAAGGGCCTATTAGTATCGCAAAGCGATGCTCCTAGTGGCCCGAAAATGAAATAGCACAAAGTGACTCGCCCGTAGTGACCAGGGACCCTCGCCATCACGTAGCAATGCGCTTGAGGTTTCCGAAAATGTATAGTTTGTTGGCCAAAAAAAGCGGAACATTGTTCTTGTATCAGAATATTATTCTTTCTTTCTTCTTTCTTTCTTATTACATTTTTCCTAACCAACTCACCCATTTTTCACCCACTGAACCATGACAAAAAGTCCTGAAATTTTGCCATCTGGTAAAACTCGCGCTTCTTTTCTTGCTATTCTTGCTATTTCCATTTCCCAAACATAAATAAAATGGCTAGTCAGCACCCCCAAACAACTCAAAAATGAATTAGGGAATACGAATGAGGGAAAAAAAAATCTGCACGTACAATCATGAAATTTGACACAGAAGTCGATCATGACAACACAAGAAAACAATATTACTACACCAACACCGTGTGCTCCAACATTAGGGAGCAGTATTGGATTAAAGTTGGCTAAGCTTTTACGAACTCCTCCGAGGGCGTTCACCCGAACGAGCTCAAATTTGGTCCACATTATCTCAAGAGGTGGAACATCAAAATTTATCCAAATTTTTCACACACGTCTTACGGTCTCTGAGCAGTGAAGCAACAAAAATGCACACAATTTTGGAGATTCTCAAATTGTTCCCATTTGCTCAAACGAACTCCGATTTCAATGAAATTTGAAACAGTTGTTAAACTCTCTGCCCTGAAGCTACTTAATGTGAAAATTATTAATTTGGCACATTAGCGCCCCCTATAGATTGAAACTAAATTTCATATGGGAGAAAATAATTTTTTCCGAAATAGAAATTTTACACAAAATTCCATTTTGGCATCCTGATCCGAAAGTCAATGACAGCCATGTCATATTTTATGGTGTTGCCATAGCGATGACATAAACTCTCCATGTTTTTCCATTGGTGAAATTGACATTAATGGCACAAACTTTGGCCAATTCACTCAAATTTTAATCGTGGGTTCACACCCCGACACTAAACAGACTGATGTAAGAAAAGTGGGTGCAATAGCGCCCCCTAGAAAATTTGTATAGAAAAATACACAAAATAGATACACAAAATTTGGTATCCACATTTGTGACATGGTCTAGATTAAAAAAAACTCAATAATGCTCAGACCTCATTTACATTGTGTTGCCGTGGCAACAAGTCAAAATTCTGTCGTTGTCAATGGGACGTCCTTACACAAACTTTGGCGAAGCCAAACCAAATTTGGTAGCCAGATACATCATGGCAATAGGAACAAAAATGTATATTGTAACCACGCCCCTATACAAACCCGAAGTCCATCATCTTGGATTTAAAAAAAATAAACACATGCAAAAATTTTGAAAAATTAATGGGTTAGGGTAAGAGTTAGGGTTGGGTCTATGGTTAGGATTACGACTATGGTTATATTTAAGTTTAGGGTTATTAGCATTAGTGCAGGGCACGGCGTTCTGAAGGGCATGGCATTCTGTTGGGTGTGGCGTTCTGAGGGGCGTGGCTTTTGCGGGGTGCAGCGTAGGCGCACGAGGGCCAATCATTGCCACTTGCGGCTATATTTATTGTTGTTGTTGTTGTCATTGTTGTTGTTGTGCACACTCTATAAATAATGTTTGATTGACTGATTTAATATGGGCTCTTTAAATATCTTTAAGCCATATCCTTTCAGGGCATACAAAAATAAATACATGTATTATTTTTTATAATATTTTTTTGACAGAAAACTTTGAGTTCTGAGATGCCTTCAGTGCACTGTGGACAGTCTGTACATTCTCACAGACAACTCTCCAACAGCTGTAATGGCAATCTTTAAACACTATGCTGTTGTCTCAAAGGAACACCGCCTCCTTTTGTTCTTGGGTGTATTGCAGCTCATGTGGGCAAGTCTCTTTGACAGTCAAGTGTGCAGTTTAAGAATAACCTGACAAGTACAGGTTTTATGATTGGACAAAATGGCACCTCACTGAGAAGTGTCTGTGTCCCTGTTATTATCCTGTACTGAACTCCTCAGCGCACTCACAGCACTGCCCTAGGGTCAAATAATGCACAAAAGACCATAAACAGAGATGGAGCTGGTGTAGTCCAGGTTTGATCCTGATAAAGTCCTGGATCAGACCAGTTTTAGATCTGTGATTTACATACATACAATTAAGTTCTTTATTTCGACCTGGTTTGGACCTGGTTTAGATCTGATTTAAGTCTGGTTTATTCCTAAATTAGACCTAGTTTAGATTTGATTTAAGATTGGTTTAGACCTGATTTCAGATGTGGTTTAAGACATGGTTTAGTCCTAGTTCAGTCCTTGTTCAGACCAGGTTATGATCTGGTCTAGACCTGGTTAAATCTAATTTTAGAACTGGTTTAGTCCTTGATCAGTCCTTGTTTAGAACCGGTTAAGATCTGGTCTAGACCTGGTTTAAACCTGGTTTATACCTGGTTTATACCCGGTTTATACCCAGTCAAATCCTGAATTAGACCTGGTTCGATCTCTGTAAAATATTGGTCCGGTTGTACTTCCTGCCTTTTTGAATAGTTCACGTTTGAATAATTCTAGTTTGAGCACAGATTAGCCCCAACGTGGACTTAGTTTGGTCTTGGCTAGTGCAGGTTTAATAATAGAATAGTCTTCATTTTAATATAATGTAATTGGGAGCCCAGATTCTAGTTAAGATCTGGTGAGCTTGGAAGCATTCTGAAACGATATTACCTCTACAAAGCCTGTCCATTTCTTTTAGCATGTTGTTCCACACCAAAACCTGCAAATGTTCAAGTTTAATATCCACTGATTTCCAGAACAGCATGCTCCCTTCATCAAATCTTTACAAATCATGGGAAAATCAAAACTTTGCCCCAAAACAGTCAAACATTTTCCAAACCTCTAGTCCGTGATTACAGTGCGCTGAGCCTTTGGATAGATCCAAAACATGCGCCATGTAAAATTCATCTCACTTTGGCGCTGTCTCCAGGGGAAAGCTACGTCTTGAATACAATGGGTAGCAAAAATAGCAATGTAGCAATAATCAGAGAATTAAATTAGCTTGGGACATAATTAGCATGTTTGTTTGTTGTTATGCCTCGTACACATATTCATTATTTAATAGCTGGCCTCTCCCTTGATTTGATAAACAGAACGGCTGGCTGCAGTCAGTGGCGTTATGAGGAGGAGAGGAGTAGTAATTAAATCGCTCATCCTTGGTCCGTGCGTAGCCTGCTCTCGTGTGCTCGCCAAGGCGTCAATCACACAAATCTACATGCGACGCACAGCCTGCTTGTGTGGTTGCTGTGACACTAATTTATACACTTAAATGTCAACACGAGGGGATTGCAAACTAATCTAGATTTGTTGTTCTGCGAATTCAGTGACTTGGGTGATAGGAAGTTTTCCATAAAAAATATTGTAATGCGAGAATATTGGAGTCCTCATTTTAGGCCTCCTGCTTCAGGAGCCTATCCATTGGTTTATAAATTATGAAAAATAAGCACTGCTGACATAGCAATATGCAATTCAAAACTAAATATTATAAGTTTTAGATTATCAAATGTTTTCAAAATGTAGGCTATAAACAGGAAGTTGAAACCCATGAGGGTAAGCATCTTCACACTTTAGCAGGGTACACTCTACTAGGATCACATAGGGTGCAAAATGCCATCCAAACAGATTAGAATATAGCATAATATAGTTTAGTTAAATCCTGGTTAAATCCAGCTAGTATAGTCCTAGTTTAGTGCCAGTTCAGTCCTGGTTGAGTCGTGGCAGCAAGCAACTCTGGACCTTATTCTATTTAGTTCCTGGTTTTGTCCATGTTAATCCAGTATGGTCCTGATTCAGTTCTAGTTTGTTCCAGATCTATTTCTGGTTCAGTCATGGTTTAGTTGTGGTATAGTCAAGTTGTGGATTTGTCATAGTTATCATTTAGCCCCGGTGAAACCCTTAATCTTGTTAGAACTCAAGATAAATCTTGGTTTATTCCTGTCTTGGTCCTGTCTTAATCCTGGTTTAGGATGTGTTCACACTTACACACAGACCACCTCAAAACTGAGATGAAACTGGGATTAGAACAGTACTAAATCCAGTCTTCATCTGAATTAAACTAGGACCAAACAAGGACAAGTATACTACAGCTCTTAGTCCTGGTTTTGCCATAACAGAAAGGCTCTTTATCAAAATAAATACAAATTAAACAAATATTGGATACTTTCATATCTAGACTGCCCCCCTTTCATCCTCTTGCCAAAATCAAAATCAACTAATGAACATATGTCAGCTAACAGAAAATGTCCCAGATGTGCTGGTTATACCTGTTGGTCTTCCAGATGTGGATGGTCTCCTCATCCACATTGTTGTGTTTGAGTGCCTGCTCATCCAGAAAGTCAAAGAAGTATTTGACGGCAGGGGGAACGACTGCCCCTGAACACAACACGCTCCTGAAGAAGTCATCCACAAACTGTTGCAGCGTGCCCTGAAAGCAGCACACAGGACACAGCTCAATATCAGACTATTATTGGGTGAAATACAGACAAAATTGAAGAGAATATACTGAATACCATCTTAAAATACATTTTATAACCTATTCTGTTGCATTATATTAAAGTGTAAAAAGGGAAATAGGATTAAAACATCTTAAACTGTTTGTAATGCTAATGTTTCACTGATTAGAGAAGGAAGAAATGTGCACACACTCACATGAGCTAGTTAATACTGTGCAATCTGAAGCCTAAATTACGTGAAGTACCACAATGTGGTACTGTGATTTTAGGAAATTACCAGCAAATGAAAGCGTGAGTTCCCCTCAACTGCCTGTCTGTTCTTGACCAATGACCTTCACTGTTTGCCTTCATAACCTTCTGTTGGTTAAATCAAATATTTGGTTAAGGCCTGATTTTGAGTTCGACTAAAATCAATAATAAAACTGTAGCAGAATACAGTTGCTCAAAATTAGTATTCAGAATACATATGTTCTGTTTTTACTTCTGAACTCAAAGTAAATTATAGTCAGCCCTGCAGAATATGTGATTGCCCTTATCTTATAATTTTCTAATATTCTCTATAACGTACACTACCATTGAAACGTTTGGGCACACACTCTCATTCAGTGTTTTTTATGTTTACCATTTTCAACATGTTTATACACACATCAAATATATGAAGCAAGATACATGCAATTATGCAGTAAAGAAAAAAGTGAAATCACTTTTGCAACTTAAACTATAAATAAATTGTTTATTTTATATTGAAATCCTCAAAGTCTACCCTTTGCTTTGTGGACAGTGCTCCAAACAGGGTTTGGGGCACTACCAAAAGTGCAAAGCTGTGATCAAAGCAAAGGGTAGCTTTTTTTTAATATAATCTAAATTGTCATTTTTTGTGTGTGTACTTTTTGTTTTACCATTCCATTTTATGCTTCACTAAGAATCTACAGTGTAAATAACCATGGAAATAAAGAGGAAGGAAATGAAAAAGTGTCCAAACTTTTGCCTGGTAGTGTAACTTTCCTCATAACAGTGTATTGTACAGTCCTCTCCTACCCTTTTTCCAAATTAAAGCCCATTCTGGAAACTCATATGGAGTGACATTTTGTAGAGAATGAGACAATTGGATAAGTCCAGTCTAAATGTCAGTGTAATTCATAGTTCTGTGTGTGTTTGTACCTTGACGGAGAGCAGTCGTGTGAGATAGATTTCTGTGATGGCTTTGGTCATCGACTTGTCCTTTATACTTCCTCGTTTGGATTTGATCTCGTCCAGCTCCTCGGCCGGCCGCACCAGATGGAACACTTTGTCATCCTCCAGTAAAGCGTTCCCTACAGAGAACAATAAAGAGAGCCATCAGGAGAGATACAAAGACGAATAGAGAGGAGCTATAGGGAGAGAGGTTTTGGGAGAGAGTGGCAGCTGAAAATGACCTTACAGCACAGTAATAGTATGGCATTAGAGTGGAAATAACATGGGGCTGGGGTCTGATGACACAGAATAAATGTCTTCTGCAGCTGTGTTTCCTTATAAACAAAGAAAATACTAACTCTTTACTGGTGTTTTCAAAAAGTAAATTCCATCTTCTTCCATTCAAATGCAGCAAATAATGACTATTTTATATAACCTGAAATTGTTTAAATATGATACATATATTACAGACAGTACTATATACCGCCATTATATTTATGTTCATATTGTCCTTAGGGGGAATATCCAAGTCTTTAAGTCGAGAGTTCAAAACCATTTTATCTCATTGTTAGTCAAGTCGTATCATAACATTTAGAAATCTCTATGGAGATAAGCAAGTGACCCAACCAAACCAAGATTTTTTTTTTCATAAAATCGCTGTAATTGAAAGAAATGCAAGATGGATTTAAGGCCATACTGTGGAACATTCCAGACAAAGCAATAACATTTTCATGAAACAAGCAGGTGACGAACCCTCCACCAGAAAAGTTCCATAGTGCACCTTTAATTTGCTATAAATTGGCAGTAAAAGCATCTCAACTAGAGCCCGACCGATATGGATTTTGTTGTGGCCGATATGAAACTGATATAATGGGAGTTGGCGCTGCCCATAGCTGATATAATCGCCAATATATTTAGTGATGTAAAAATTCACTGTAAATCTTGAATTGTTTAAAAAAACTTAGGTTTGGCTCTAGTGGATTCTAAATTGGGTTTATTTAGGCAACATTTATTGTTATTCTGACTCTTTACATCATATTTACATACAGTAGATTGGCCTAATGGCATTTTTGCATCACATTCTAGCTACTAGTGATGGGTATTCCAGTTTTTTTTTTTTTGGGAGAACCGGCTCTTTTGGCTCGGCTCACTAAAGCAGCTGGCTCTTTCGGCTCCCAAGCGACTCTTGAGATTGTTTTGTTGCAAGCAGGACTAAACCAGAACTGAACCAGGACTGAAAAAGGACTAAACCAGGACTAAAACAGATTTAAACCACGTGTGAAACAGGACTAAACCAGAACGTAACCAGGTCTGAGTGTCGGGACTCGGTTTCTATCTCTCTCCCTCACTCGAGCCCAAGATTAGTCCTGGTTAAAATCCTATGCACACGCAGATTTCTGAACATTTCGTTTTCAGCCGCTGCTGCTGTCAAACTACGGGTCTACAAGCGGCTTGAAGAGAAAAAGTGAGAAAAAGAGAAAACACGGCTCCCAATAAGAAACATGCTCCCGTCGTTCCCTTCAAAGAGCCGGCTCTAAGAGCCGCTTCGATCGCGACCGACCCATAACTCCTAGCTAGAAAAGAAACTACCGCTATTAGCCTTTAGCCGTAAAAACGTGCGCACCGCGGTAATTAATTATATGCATAAATGTGGATCATTCACACGTCTATTCACAGCTCATTTACATATCAGTGCTGGTCCAGTAACAAATATACGGACAATACAGTCACTTTACAATAGGCCAATAGAAAACAGCCTGTTTATGTGCGGGAGCTACAGCAGCTAATCGCTAACAGATAACCCCTTCAAAGTCGACATATTTCCAACACTCACCACTCACACAGGCTGCTCCTCACATCACAAGTCTGCACTAATAAATGTCCTTTTAATCCAGACTCAAACCGATTGTCCATAAAAAGAATATAATCTCAGTGTTGTGCACGGCTGCGGGTGTAAACAAACACACGTGAGTGAAGTGACGTGACTCTGGGGGTGTGTTCAGGGACAGTACAGACACAAATTACACCGCAAATAAATACTGATGCGGAGCCACATATTAGGACATCGATCTGTCTATAAATTGGATTAAATGAACATAATGTAGAGAGTCTAAGCTTTATAACGAGGTATAACATGCCCACGTGAAATATCGGCCCATATCAGCAAGCATATCGGCCGATATGTCTCCAGGTGCCCATATTGGCCGATAATATCGGTCGGGCTCTAATCTCAACTATACAAAACCAAACAGGAGAGTTTGATCAATGAATACACAAGTAGAGAGAGAGCACAAGAGAGTGAAGGAAAGCAAGAAAAAGAAAGAAAGACTTTCGATGCCTAATCAGCCCTTCAGAAGTGTCCATAAAAAGCGTGAGATGAAAGCATGCATTATAGTGCAGGGGAAGCTCATAAAGCCCATATATCTGCATGATGAATGAGATCAGGGCTCTGTAAATGTTGACGATATCCCCACAGAGACACGTCTCGGCCCCATGTGTCCTCAACAAGACTGTGGGGAAAACAAGGGAATAGATTATAAGAAAGAGAAACTCTATGCTTACGCTCTTCATGGTTTTCGTGGTTTTGATCATAATTTTGTTGCGTGTGAAGAACTCTGGACAAAACCAATATGGCGTTGTCTCTGACCTGTGAAAAGAAATCAGAAATTGGATTAATACACATTTCTAGACATTCAAATAATAAAGAGTTGCATCAGGAGAGTATGGATTCAACATCACCACACTATTACACTGATAAAAAACAAATACAGCTTAGAGTGTTCATGTACTGTATGCCTTCAAGTGTACTAATAATGGACACAATGGCAAAAGTTACAAGTGGTACATTTAGCAGTATTTAACTTATACTAATGTAAAGTAATACCATATGTTATTCTTGTTAGAGTTGTCAAAAGTATTGAAAATCAAAAACTAACTGACACTAAAACTACTACTGGAACTAGGCACACATTTTTTGCAGGTATCAATCCTAAAAAAAAGTCCCATTGACAGGACAGAATTCAACCTTTCCTGAATAGTTTTAGAATGATGTTGAGATGTATCAGAACAAGTGTCATAGCACATAGACTAATATACACACATGGACCAACATGAACCTACTGGACCACTGAGGATTACACACATATAAGACACATGGGAATAGAAAAGAAAGTACTGTACTATGATGTAATGTGTAAAATCACATTCTACTGTCTGAAAGGCTGTTTTGCTTTTTATCATAATATTGGTATCGGAATTGGAATTGAGTATAGAGTCTATTCTTTAGTTCTGAAATTGAGCTTGAAATTGTAATATTGTGACAACACTGCTTCTTGTAAGGAAAAAAACTGTAAACGTGTCTTTATTCTGGCTGGTGTTTAGAGTCAGCAATGTCCCTCAGAGCCAGACTCTGATTCAGAATTATCACCCTGGAGCAGACAACACACACAGTTTACTGGAGCCATGAACTGGTCATTTTGTTTGGTCCGTCCCATTATTGACCACACATACACTGTGACCTACTACTGGACCAGCCCCTGGATCAAGAAGAGAGGGAGAGAAGGAGGGAGAGGGTAGGGAGGTAACAAAGGAGAAGAGGGAGACAGAGAAAGGAAGGAAGAGAAAGGGAAAGGAGCTGGGGAGTGAGACAGAGTAAGAAATATCAGGACAGTGAGAAACAGAGAGATAGAGAGAGAGAGAGAGAAAGAGAGGGATAAAGAGAGAGAGAGAGAGGGATAGAGAGATAGAGACAGAGAGGGATAGAGAGAGGGAGTGAGAGAGCAAGAGAGCGAGAACGAGAGTGAGAGAGAGAGATCAGGATTTAAACGTTGGGATGGAGGGGCATGTTTGTGGTGACCTTTAGTTTAGCTGCATCGATTCAGAGTCATGAAGATTTAGTGTCAGAGTGAAAAGGGTCACACACACAGAGGTCCTGCCCAGATACACACACACTTACTACAACAACTGTTACAAATGTTTTGGTTATAAATATTTGATAATGAAAGAGTAAAGTCCCATAAGCTGTCATAAAGTATGGGGCTGTAACTGATTTTTACTGTTCTCAAACTGTCACTGGAAGAGCTGATCTTAAATTGATCTCCGATTGTCTCCATAGAGATGTTATTGTTCTACCTGAGATGTTTCACAGTACGGCATTAAACTCATCTATATTGCATGTATAAATTAAAGGAGTATTTATTGCTCAAAATACCTTAGAGAAACACGATTTTGTTTTGTAAGTGGGTTTGCCTCTTCACAGATCTGACCTGTAACTTGGCCAGGTGGTGTTACCTGATGGTCTCAATCACCATAGACATTTAAAGCAATACTGTGGAACATTCCAGGCAAGGCAATAACCATGGACACAAGCAGGTGGCGGACCCTCCACACAAAATGTTATATAGTGCACATTTAAGTTTACTGAAAACAAATATCATAAATCAGCTCACATTAAGGTAAATGAAAGTACACAATAGAACTACTGAATTCGAGTCATTTCAGATAATATCTTGGAGGTTTGGTGGTGGAAGGGCATCCGGCACACACATGAAAGTAAGATATGCATTTTGTATTAGATAAAGTTAAATATTTTAGCAAAAAATAACAGTCCTGAAGATTCATGTCTTAATACAGTATGCGAACTTTACACAGTGAGTCAGTGTTATCATTCAATACATCTTATTTATTGTTTTTAATTTCTTTTCAAATTTGCTTTTCTAAAATGGCCACTGCAAATCCTGCACCCCAAGTTTGTCCTAACTTCATAAAATAACAGAAAGCAGCCCTTTGTGTCAGCGCTGAAGAAAAGTCTATAGTGTGAGTTTGATTTGGAAGTCAAAGTTTGTACAGATTAGAAAAGTGTTTTATAAAAAGCACTATACTGAGCAGCTATTCACACATATAAAGAAAACAAGTCCCATGCTTATTCTTGTTTCAGTATTTATAGAGATATGAGGGTTTCGTGTGGATGAAACGCAGTACAAAATGCATAATATGTTTCTTGGCCATTGGAAATACTGCAAAAAAACCCAACAACTTTTCACTCACTTTAAATATGTGAAAAATTGGACTTTTGAGGAATAGCTATATGCAACTAAACAGGTTACAGGTATATTACAGGCTCCATATCTAAATCAGGACAAACCCACGACTTCGTACGGACTGAAAGAGAACTAGACCAAGACTAAATAATGATGGCTGGATCTGGTTTACACTGGTGCTAAACCAAAACTAAACCAGAGTTTAGTAGGTTTAAATAAGGACCAAGCTAGATCTAAAGGAAGATTTAACCATGTCAAAACCAAGTCGAAACCAGGACTAAACCAAGAACAGCCCAAAGAAATATAACAGCTAACAAGCAAAATAATAATCAAATTAGGTCTAAACCAGGTCTAAACCAGGAATAAACCAGGACTAAACCAAGAACAGCCCAAAGAAATATAACCGCTAACGAGCAAAATAATAATAAAAGTAGGTCTAAACCAGGTCTAAACCAGGTCTAAACCAGGAATAAACCAGGACTAAACCAAGAACAGCCCAAAGAAATATAACTGATAACAAACAAAATAATAATCAAAGTAGGTCTAAACCTAAACCAGGTCTAAACCAAGACTAAACCAGGACTAAACCAGGACTAAACCAATAACAGCCCAAAGCAATACAACAGACGATGAGGAAAATACTCATAATAAGCAAATAGTCTAAGCTAGGTCCAGATCAGGAATAAGACACAACTAAACCAGGACTAAACCAGCAAAAAATCAAACCATGCAACAGCGCAATACCCAGAATAAGACTAAATCAGGACTAAGCCAGATCTAAACCTGGTCTTGACCAGGACTAAACCAGGTCTAAATCATGACTAAGCCAGATCTAAACCAGGTCTAAACCAGTTCCAAAACAGGCTTAAACCACAGCTAAACCAGGACTAAACCAGCAAAAGTCCAAACCATGCAACAGCGCAGAATAATGGGTCTAAACTATGCTAAATCAGGACTAAACCAGATCTAAACCAGGTCTTCAGCAGGACTAAACAAGATATAAACTGAGAAGAATCAACCAAAGGAACCATGAACTGAGTCTAAACTTGGACTAAACCAGGTCTAAACTATGATCAAGACAATATAATCAGCATAAAACACTCTGCAGGTCTAAACTTGGACTAAACCAGGACTACAGTCCCTGACAAAAGTTTTGTCGCTTATCCATTTTGTTGAAACAAAAGCTTATAACCTGACTTTAAATTAATCGATTGGTTTTAGAAATGTCTCATATGAAAGCTAAAACCCTCCCAAATTATGCTCAGTATACTAAAATAAATTTGCTTCACTGAAGAAAGATTGATCATTTAATGAACACAGAAAGGTCAGATTTAGGCAAGACAAAAGTCTTGTCGTCTTGTCATATGATGCACCCAATCCTAGATTACAGCCTCACCTGTGATCAGTTACTTATCAATCAATTAGTGGGTGTGTATAAAAAGAACCCCAGCAGAACCAGACCTTCACATCAACTGCAACTTGACCTCTGACAACATGCCTAAGATCCACCCTGAGACCAAAGCGTTAATTATCAAGAGGCTGAAGACCAGATCCACTGCTGAGGTGGTGACACCTTCAATGTGTCTCAGCATCAAGTACAAAGAATAAGAAAAAGATCTGAAATGACTGGAGATGTTTTTGACAAGCCCAGGTCCAGCAGACCCCGCAAGACAACTGCTCGGTAGGACCGTTTGTTGATTCAAAAATCCAAAGCCAGCACCTTTTCCGCTGCAGCAGACTCCACCAGGCCTGGTCACCTCAAGTCCCTGTGTCAACCACAACAGTTTGTAGAATTCTGTCTCGAAATGGCCTCCATGGTCGAATCAGTGCACAGAAACCAGCACTAAACAAAAGGCAATTAAAAAACTGTGTGGCATTTGCCAAGGCCCACAGCCTGCTAAAAGGATGGACACTGGAAAAGTGGCAGAAGGTGGATTTCTCAGATGAATCCTCGGTTGAATTACATCACAGCCGCCGCAAATATTGCAGGAGACCTACTGGAGCCACATGAATCCAAGATTCACCCAGAAAACAGTTAAGTTTGGTGGCAGAAAAATCCTGGTCTGGGGTTACATCCAGTATGGGGCTGTGCGAGACATTTGCAGGGTGGAAGGCAAATATCAATAGCCTAAAATATCAAGAAGTATTAGCTACCTCTTACATTCCCAACCATAAAAGGGGTCAAATTTTGCAGCAGGATGGTGCTCCATCACATACTTCTATCTCTACATCAACGTTTCTCAAGGCGAAGAAGATCAAGGTGCTCCAGGACTGGCCAGCCCAGTCACCAGACATGAACATCATTGAGCATGTCTGGGGTAGAATGAAAGAGGAAGCATGGAAGGCAAAACCAAAGAATCTTGATGAACTCTGGGAGGTATGTAAGACTGCTTTCTTTGCTATTCCTGATGACTTCATCAACAAATTGTATGAATCATTGTCGAACCGCGTGGATGCAGTCCTTCAAGCTCATGGAGTCATACAAGATATTAAATATGGATCTCACAGCACCACTACTTCATTCACTGACGTTATGCAAAATATTTTTGCATTTGAAGTAAATTATTTGTTCAGTTTTCTGTAGGCAACAAAACTTTTGTCTTGCCAAAATCTGACCTTTCTGTGTTCATTAAATGATCAATCTTTCTTCAGTGAAGCAAATTTATTTTAGTATATTGAGCATAATTTGGGAGGGTTTTAGCTTTCATATGAGACATTTCTAAAACCAATCGATTAATTTAAAGTCAGGTTATTAGCTTTTGTTTCTACAAAATGGATAAGCGACAAGACTTTGATCAGGGACTGTAAGCCAAGTCTAAACTTATTCCATTTCCACTGTGCAGTCTAAACCACATTTTTAGAATTCCTGCTCCCATCTCTTCACACTTTCATTTTGTGTTGATTTAATTTGTTGACGTGGCACGGAGCAGATAAAGTCCATATATTCACACTTGACTTTAGCAGTTGTGGTGATCTCCGGTGTAATCATATGTCTCGCTCCGTTGAGAAGAGCTCCGTGACAAACTCCCTCTCTCTGTCTCACTAACCGCCACCACCATGCAATATGCTCTGCTCAGTGCACACGTTTATAAGAGAGGCCATTCACAGCCACACGCCCACTCACAGGCAGGCCAGTCCCAGCCGCCCACACTGGACATAAACATAAACCACATTCACTTATGATCTATTCAAGATGGAACTTTTCTAGAGGAGGGCCTGCCATCTGCTTATCACCATAAAGAAGTTACTGCTTATAATGAAATGTTCCATGGTTTAAACATATCTATCTTATTTTTTTTATTCAATTACTGGTGTAATAATCTTGACAAATCTTTACATTTGTACTATGAACAGGCTTACCACAGATCTGACCTGTACGGGGTCACTTGCTTGTCTCCATGGCAAAAAAAAGCTGAATGCTCCACTGTGGAACATCATTGTGAAAAATCCTGTTCATTTATGTGCATGCCTTAGCTAAAATCAAAAGACTAACTAAAACTAAGATCAGATATTTTTCTTAATGTTTTGTTGATCCTCTTATTTCTGTTTCTGTCTCCATGGAGACGTTACTGCTTTGCATAAAATGCTCGACAGTATGGCATTAAACCCATCAGTCATGTAACATCACCAAGACAGGTTACAGGTTAGGTCTGTGGAAAGGCAAGCCCACTCAGAGTAAGTCAGTATTATGCCTTATTAGTCTCTTGCCATTTTTGCTACTTGTTTAGCATAATTACCATTTATATTTCTTACTCTTTGTTATTATAATATATTGTGTTGTGTGAGCTACTGTGTCCAAGTCATTTCTCTTCTAGATCAATAAAGTATGTCTAAGTCTAAGTAAGAGTGGGCTTTTTAGTCATTAAAAACTGAATAAATACAAGACAGTTCAGTTTCATGCCATACATATATCTCCTGAGATAAGCAGGTGGCAAACCCCCAGCCAGAAAAGTTACATAGAGCAGCTTTAACAGGTTTATTCATACAGGCGTACAGAAATCTGCTGGGCTAAGTGCACATCGTAAAAATAGACAGGCAATCCACAGCCACACGCCCCCACACAAATCCACCAGTGTGAGCCCCGCTCTGCAAACCTGAGCTTGAATCATACACAGAAGGAGACAGTATTAAGAATGATTTTAACTGTGTGGAAAAGGTAACATTTGTTTAGTTTTTTTTATAATGTTCCTGAGGACAGATTAAGGTAACAGGACAATTAAGTCAATTAATGGCTAAAATACCTACCAAAAAATCGAAATATTTGATGCATAAAAAGGCTCATACACCACTTTATCAGGCTAAAATCATCAGGCTACTATACCAACTGTGTACATATATATATATATATATATATATAACTATTATTATTATTATTATTTATTTATTTTATTGTAAACGTCTGTTTTTCACTGGCTTTTATTTTGAAAAAGTCCACTGCGAGCGTTTCTTTAAGTTTGACGTCTTTTCTTTACACTTTTTTCATACTTTTTTTCATACTCTACTTTTTAATTCATTAATTGGGTTTGCGTATAACATGCAATTAATCGCGATTAATCGCTCGAACTCATGCGATTAAAAAATTATTTTTTTGCCCAGCCCTAATATATATACATAAATACATACATACACACGTGTGTGTGTGTGTGTATATGTATATATATATATATGTATATATGTATATATATATATATATATATATATATATATATATATATATATATATATATATATATATATATATATTAGGGGTGTCAAATTATCGCGTTAATTGCGATTAATTAATTACAGTCATATTTAGCGCGTTATGTTTTTTAATCGCGTTAATCTCATTTTTAATCTCTAACTTTACTGTTTCTGTATGCGAGTTGCTTTATTATAAAATCAGTTTTTATGCGTTGCTGGGACAACAACACACACACACAAAAACACATTTATACATTTTTTTATTTCGGTAATTCCACTCATTGCCGGAAACCCACACAAAACGCGCACAGTAAGAGCGACGTAAACGTCTTGTTCACGTTGGCGGCGTCAGGGACAATGGACGAGGTCGAAGAGCCAGTAGAACAGAACCAGCAGTGCACAGGTAAAAACACATTCGTGTCTTGGAAATTATTCTCCCGACGTAAAATATAAAAGAAAATAACAAATATAAAATCGCCTACAACTTAAATGTCACTGGTGAAAACAACTTGCATAGACTCATGATGTCTGCACTACTGTCCTATAGTGACCTGCCACATGAGGGGACACGCACACAAACACACACAAACACAAACACACACAAACATAAATACACACAAACACACACAAACAAACACACACCTTCATCATCGTCATCAACCTGAGAACGCGCGGACCACGTTTCCTTCCGTAGTTACTGCGCGGACACCGACGTGCTCCCGTGCGCCGCGTGTGGATCGTGTTTTCTTGCTACGCTGCGTAAACCGCGCTTCCTCCTGTGCGCCTCTAAACCAGAACTAACACCAAGACTAAAACCAGGACTAATCCAGTCCAGGACTAAACCAGGACTAAACCAGGACTAAACCAGAACTAAAACCAGGTCTAAACCAGGACTAAACCAGGTCTAAACCAGGTCTAAACCAGGACTAAACCAGGTCTAAACCAGGACTAAACCAGGTCTAAACCAGGACTAAACCAGAACTAAAACCAGAACTAAAACCAGGTCTAAACCAGGACTAAACCAGAACTAACACCAGGACTAAAACCAGGATTAATCCATTCCAGGACTAAACTAGGACTAAAGTAGGACTAAAGCAGGTCTAAACCAGGACTAAAACAAGGACTAAAACCAGTGATCTCATATATAAAGCATTTCTCTATCAATAATATTTTTAATATGGTTAAGAAAAGACTGGACTTTTTATTGTCTTTAAGTAGACAAAAGTTATTATGTTCAGATTTCCTCGTCTTTGCTACTTTACAGCAAACAGTTTCTTATTCATGGAGACTTGGGCTCAACAGCCAATTTGGAGAGATTTGTTAAACAATAAATTACTTTATAAAGTCACTTTTTTAATCTATATCAGTCTTTTGATCTGCCACAATAATGTAATAATGAATTTAAATGAAAATACCTCAAATTTAAGCTTTTCTCAGCAATTTTTAGATGAGATTAAAATGAGATTAATTAGATTAATTAATTACAGATCATAATTAATTAATCTATAATTTTTTTTAATCGCATGACAGCACTAATATATCATATATATATATATACATACATACATACACATAGCATACACAATCATATAGTCCCTGTGTATTTTCAGTCTGTAGATAAGCATTCACTTCAATTCATTTCCTGACTTGTTGCATCCAACTTACGTTGTAGTGAGCCAGTGTGTTGATGCGTCTCCAGCGTCCCTCCTTCTGAGAGGTGAGGTCCAGGTCAGATAGGATCTGCCCTGTGGAGCCCGGACGCCATTCTGTACACACACAAAAACATGAGCAATACTCTATTTACAAAGGAACAGAATACCAAAACACAGTATCAGAATCTTTTATTTAACACTCCCAATAACATTTATTCACCAGCAAATATCCTTTATTTGCTCTATGGTTATAATAATTCAATTTAAACATACAGGGCAATTAAAGATTTCATGAGTCTGTATGTCTTGTAAAATGTGTTTTATGGGGTAATATTAAAGGTCATTAAGTTTTCTGCTGGTGAGTCTGCCAACTGCTTGTCTCTATGGAGATGCTATAGCGTTGCCTAGAATGTTACACAGAATGGCATTACACTTGTCTATCTCCATGGAGGCAAGCAGGTGACCCCGCCAGGCTCTGTTAAAGGTCAGATCTGTGGAGAGATGAGCCTTCTAATAGTAAGAGGACATGTTTTCAAGGTATTGTGTGCACCTGAACTGAACTGAACTAAAGAAATGCAAGATAGATATGTTTTATTATTTTTAATCACCATGTGACCTATTGTGTCATCATGTGACATTGTTTTGAAAATCCTATATTCACCAAAAACAACGTATTAACATGTTTTATACATTTCAGTTTCATTTTTATCACTCTGAGTCCCCCCTTCCTTTAAGGATGTCACCAGACAATCAGCGTGCACCCCAGCATGAATCATGTTTTTGTATATTTATGGAGAATTGTTGTGTGGGAGCATAAGTGATGTAGGCTTTGCACAGCATTGCACAGAATCTTACAGCTAACTGTAAGGAGGGTGTGAACAGTGCCAAGGAAAGATCGCTAAATTACTCAAACACACATGGATGAATCTAAAACCTCTTCAGACATGTTTTTGATGAGGGAATGACATTATAAAAGATTTATTTCCTCTTAAAATATAAGATGATTAATTTTGAGAGCTTAAACTTTGTTCCAGAATTTTGTATTTTCAGAACATTCATAATCATATCTAATTTTAGAAGTACAATTTGACACCAAAACAAAGATTTAAAGTAAACCACTGATCTACTATACCAGTCTCAACCTCTCAGGAATCATGCACATGCACCGTGCTTTGGGCCAAAGACGAAACAAGGCTGTGATTCTGAATGATGTAAGTCAAATGAGATTTCCATACTGAGATTAAAACACTGTCATTGCAGTAGACCAAGGCCCACCAGCATCTACGCCATAATATTCAGACTAAAAAAACTTTAAAGGTATTCTTTGTGATTTGGCATCACAAGGCGGCTTATCTAAAATGCAGAAAGATCTGCGCTGTGCGTGGGAATAAACAGCTTTGATGTTTTTGAATACGTCGACAGTCTTTTAAAATGGCTCCCTAAGGTTTGTGACAACAGCTCAGGCACAGGGACTTCTGCGTTTTCTCCAGTCAACATTAGTCACAGTCAACCACTTAGTCACAGTCAACAATGCACTGGGTAATATGGGCAAAGGCTCAATGTAAAGTCAGATCTGTAGAGAGGAGACCCCGCTCAAAGTAAGAATACACGTTTTTCAACGTCTTTTTTGTTGGTTGGCAGTTCAAATCCCACCCTTGACATAAGCATCATTTGTTGAATGGTCAAATCCACTGACCCACAGGTTGGCAGTGCGATTCCAGTTCCCACAGATAAATGCTGTCATTGTGTCCTTTGGCAAGACACTTAACCCACCTTGCCCCTAGTATCTCTGTACACTGGTGTATGAGTGACACCATTTTGAGGACAGTTAAAACACAAAGCAATACAAATATTTCATGGGTCCACTTGCATTCAGTGAAAACAAAATCTCCAGACTAGTTTGGAAAAGTCACACTAAAGTCAATAATGGATAAGGAGCAGTGGTTCTGATGAATGCAGATGATGATATGAAATACTGAGATAGTTTGAATGGACGCAGGCTTCATTTGACATTCACACACTATCACACACACAGGCATGTGAGGCTCTGTAACAGCCCATGTTTAGCAAATAAACCCAGTCTGCAGCTGCTGTTCAATACAACAAATTGTGTTGAATGATATTTTATTACTAAATCAATAGTTCAAATCAGTCCTGTCCATGCAGCCTCCATACAGCTGGACACTGCACTTGGACATCACAAACAGAATTAGTAACATTAGTATTATAGATCAGGATTGTTACATAATTTTGAGACAGCCTAATGTTAGCCCACTGGAGATTTAAACATGCTAAATACTAAACTTAGCTTGTGTGTGTTAAAGAGGTGAGGACTAAAATACCTAACTCCCACACTGTCTCCAAGTCAGGTGCTCATGCTTTTACATTCACTTACATTGATTTCCACCTCATTGCATTAACGCGAACCTTCATCTTCACCCAGATGAACTCAGATTTTGACATTAAACCATGTCATTGTTCCAAATATGAACAACCTATCTCATGTGAACCAGATGTACAGTCGTGGATAAAATTGTTGGTATCCATCTGGCAATGAAAGAAAGATCAACAATCATCACTGAAATAACTTGAAACTGAAAGGCAATAATAAATAAAAATTTACTGAAAATTGTCCAACAAAAATAAAACACTGTTTTTCACCCGTGGTTCAACAGAATAATTAGAAAAAACAAAATAATGAAATTGGCCTGGACAAAAATGATGGTTCCCTTAACTTTATATTTTGTTACACAATCTTTTGAGGCAAACTCTGCAATCAAATGATTTCTGTAACTGTCAATGACACTTCTGCACTGGTCAACAGGTATTTTGATCCATTTCTTGTGAGCAAACTGTTCTTGTTGTCTCAGGTTTGAAGGGTTCCTTCTCCAGACGCATGTTTCAGCTCATTTCACAGACGTTCAGTAGAATTTAGATCTGGGCTCACAGAGGAACACTCTAGAACAGTCCAATGTTTTGTTCTTAGTCATTCTTGTGTGTTTTGGGTCATTATCCTGTTGGAAGACCCCATAACCTATGACTGAGATCAAGCTTTCTGACACTAGGCAACACATTTCGTTCCAAAATACCTTGAAAGTTTTGAGATTTCGATGTATCTTGCACAGATTCAAGACAACCTGTGCCAGATGCAGCAAAACAACCCCAGAACAAAACCAAGCCTCCTCCATGTTTCACTGTAGGGACAGTGTTCTTTTCTTGGTGTGTTTCATTTTTGCATCTGTGAACATAGAGCTGATGTGTCTTACCAAAGAGCTCAAGTTTTGTCTCATCTGTTCAAAGAACATTCTCCCAGAAGCTTTGTGGCTTGTCAATATCCAGTCTCACTTTTTATGATTTGCTCTCAGCAGTGGTGTCCTCACATGAAGTTCACATTGGCTCAAAGAGTGATGGATGGTGTGATCTGACACTGATGTACTTTGCCCTTCAAGTTCACATTTAATTTGTTTGGAAGTTGTTCTGTGCTCTTTGGTTCCATTTGTATGATCAGTCTCTTGTATTTGTCATACATTTTCCTCTTGCGGCCTCGTCCATGGAGGTTGGCTTCAGTCCTGTGGACCTTAAACTTCTGAAGAACATGTGTAACTGTAATCACAGGAACATCAAGCTGCTTCTTATGGCTTTTATCTTTAACCTGCTTGTCTATCATTTTCTTTCTAGTCTCTTGACACAGTTCTCTTCTTCACTTTCTCTGGTCCATGTTCAGTGTTGTGTCCATCATGTCTCCAAACAGCACAATGACACATGTCTCCTTTTAAACAGACAGACTGACTGAGGACAAGTTTGAAGACATCTGTGATGCAGATTAGAGGACACACTGAAGTTTAACGTGTCCCTCTTGTCCAAGTGTTTACAATCGTTTCTAGGGGTACCATCATTTTTGTCCAGGCCAGTTTTATTAATTTGTTTTTTTTAAAGAATTCTGTTGAACAACAATTCAAAAACAGTGCCTGATTTTCATTGGTTATTTCTCAGGAAATGTTTATTTATTATTGCTTGTCTCAGTTTCAAGTTATTTCAGTGAAAATTGTTGATTTTTCTTTCATTACCAGAGGGGTACCAACAATTTTATCCACAATTGTATATCCTGTAAAGTTACAGATTTCAGTTCTCATTTCAGAAAAACCCTCACACAACACATCAAAATAGGGACTACACTGAAAATAAACACCGAAATAAATCTTAACATCAGGACTAAACCAAGCTCAAACTTGTAAGACCACCCACCCCTGTCTCTAAAGGGGGGTTCACACAAGAGCGCCAAAGCATCGAGTTTCTATGTAAAATCTATGTGGACGAATGTCTAGGGCGTCCGGCACGTCTTGAGCGTTTTGGCGCCAACGCTCTAGATGTGCGTCCAAGGCGTCAGCATCAGAAAGTTGAAAATGCTGAACTTTTCGCGCCAACCAGTCAGGGACGAGTATCATAGCGATGTTATTATCACGAAGAAAGACCCGAGAACCAGAGCGAGACAGCAAACATTAGTGGAGCATAAAAAATAATAAAATAATAAATCACTGAGCGGATCGCGAGAACTACACCAGAGCCGGACCAGGACTAAAGCAGGACTGGACCAGAACTAAACCAGGACGAGACCGGGACTAAACCGGGACTAGACCGGGACTAGACTGGGACTAGACCGGGACTAGACCGGGACTAGACCAGGACTAGACCAGGACAAAACCGGGACTAGACGGGGACTAGACGGGGACTAGACGGGGACTAGACGGGGACTAGACGGAGACTAGACTGGAACTAGACGGGGAAGGAATCAGTGTCATTAGCGGAGTATACATATATATACGCTGCAGTCTTCGACCCAATCGCCTCCGCTGATGGTTTTATGTAATAAAAACACTAAAGTCTCTTTCAGTCTGGTCTAACATCATTTCAGGAAAAGACGAGGACTGGGCACGTTTTTCCAGGGCAACGGACACGTGTCAAGTATTTTTCTCTCGTTCATCCACGGCATCAAAGATGTGTGTCGGGGGCGTCTAAACTCAAATGCAAAGGTGTTCAAATAGAGGCGTGAAGGTGTTTTTTGAAGCTCTGGTGTGAACACACATTAACCTCTCTCCGTCCCCTCCCGCTGCACTTACCCAGTGTGACAGACTCCACCTTGGGTCTCTGGGAGTAGGGCAGGTTCCTGTACACCTGCTCAATGATCTTCTCCTTCACCTGAGAGATGGTGTCACAGTTCAGAACTTTGACTGGAGTAACGTCAGGACCCTCTCCATGCACCAGCACCTGCAGGGTCTGTAAAACAAACCCACCATTACTTAATACCAGAGGTCTCAATTCTAAAGCATGTGTGTGTACAAAACTGTAACATACATGATGTTCTACACTATCTATACAAAGACAACTTTACATTAAAATGAGAAGAAGTACAGTCTGAAAACTCAGAAATTTGGAGGTCAGGACAGGGACAAAAGAAGCATCTCTGCACTCAGAGACGAGAAGGTACAAAGTCTGAGGACACTGGTGGAAGTTTGTGCTTTGTCCCTACGCACACTTTTAGTAAGAGCTCCACGTACAGTTTTATAAATGAACCCCAGGTCTGAAAAACAAGCACAGCTCTGCTCAGCACCAGACCTGAAAACCAAGTGCACCTCTGCTCATTATGGTGAGCTGGACACAATTCAGTATCTTTTGCTGTGTATTCTATTAACTTTTCAATATTTGTCATTGAATATTGATTACATATTTTTATATTTATGATCCTTGCTGTTGCCCTTTTTAAACTTTGTAAGCCCAGACAAAGAATACTCATGTTGAAACTAATATAATACATTAAACATTACACTGGGTCTTCAAAGTGAAACTGCTTATAGCTAAATGTCTGTATTTTAAACAGCACTACTGTATGCTACCCTAAGCCAACCATTTGACCTGTTTTATATTAGAACTTTTGAATGACATATTGAAAATGTGTATAAAGTACAAGTAAGTGGCATTATGTTTCAGTGTCATGTCTGTGGAGAGGCATGCTTACTCAAATTAAGAGTGCATGTTTATCCAAGTGCTGTCTTTAATTAGGTGAAATGTTGCACAGTGGCAAAAAAAAAATAAAATAAAAATCTTGTCCGCTTTAAGCCATGTTGTAATACTGTTACCTCCTCAAAAACATACGCAGTGTTGTGTTTTGTTTCATTCACATATAAGTAGTAGCAGTGAGATTTTATTGTTAGTTTTTCTACATCTCCAAAGTTCAAAATGCTCTGTTCAACCTTGTGATGTCATGTAATGGTAGGCTCCTTTTACCTTAGTTCTCTAGTTCTCTATTTGCAATAGGCTATTATCACGCTTCCGGGTTTTGTGGGCGGGGTTTATCTACTTTGTGAACTTCCACTACCTGCGCAACAACAACAATGGCTCAAACGATGTCTAGATGTCACTGCTCTTTTTAAATTATGAAATAATTAGCAGGATCAATGCATATTCTTTGTAAATACTTTGTAATAGCTTTATAATTGGCAAAATAAGTTACTGGGACCAGTTAATGCTCCACAGCGGGAGCAGGACAAATGTATCAGACACAAAAAGGAGGAAAAAAGTCAGCTTCAAATAGGTGTTCTCGCTCTGTCTTTTTTATTTTCTCATAGCATCGTAAAGTCCATTGAAGTCCGAAACATCACGGTGCTTCACATCACAAAGCACCGAGAAAGCCTGGTTAAAGCCGACTTTTTTTTTCCTTTACGTGCTAGCAAAAGAGACACTCGTATGCCGATGTTAGCTGACTGAAACTGAGAGGCGAACGTTCTTCCTCTCAGAATACAAATGACATGGGGGAATTTACTTAGCCCCATTTAAAAATGAATACTCTTGCTTTTGTTGGGTATGTTGGGTAAACGCCTTATATCCATACACCAAACTGACGTTAGCATAAGCTAACCCTCCTGTTCTAAAGCATAGGCAACCCCTGTCCCGACATACAGTCACTCCGACAGACCCCCACTCAAACATACCGTCATTTCGACAACCCTCCACCCCGACATGCCCCCATTCCGACACCAATGAACAAGGACTAAACCAGGACTAATCTTGAATGAGAGAGAGAAAAAGAGACAGAACCACCATCCCGTATTAGAGGGTATTTGGCGTAAAGCTCTGTGCCATTAGAGCGCGGAGAGCTTTACGCTCGCTGCTCTGTTGGCACAAGAGGGAGCCACATACGCCTGACCTCCTGCAGGTGAGAGCGCGTGGAGGTGTCAAGTTAACGAGTGCGTAAAAGTCCGCAACTTTAAGTGCGCGCACGAGGAGAATGAGCGCCGCCTCTTTATAAACTTTTATGAGTTTATAAGGGACCGACGCATTTCTGGGTCCCTGTGTAAGCCGTTCTGTCCTCTATGACCAGGTATAATTCTAATATTTTAGCCCTTATTCATGAAAATATCCAGATTCCTAAATCATTGATCTTTTTAGTGTCTCTATCTGACTGCGAGCCCGGCACCGGTTCACTGTTGCAACACACTGAGCTTTACAGCGCATTCTCGTGCGCCCTTGTCTTTGCCAACAGGTAATGAATGTCTCCTGCTCCTGTCCATTCACAAAAATGTCCAAACTGTCACACAATTCAGTTTTTCGTAGTTTCTCTGCTTGGCCGTATCATTGCGCTTTGAGCCAAATGCGCGTCACCGCGCGCTTCCACCTGTAGTGTCAGGTGACGCCCCGTAACCTCTTCAAGTTCCAAATTCTTACGCATTTGTCCCTTGTAGCCGCGCTGCTCGGCTGCACTCGCAGTACCAGGACCTTTACGCACAGTGGTACCTTCAACAATAGGATTCTGCCACTCCGACCAGAGGATAAAGAAATGTCGGAGTGCAGGGACGTTGGATAAAAAATGGAAATGCCGCTACTCTGACATCAATATTGGAGTGATCGGCAACTGTAAAGTTATGTTAGCTAGTAGCCACTCACTATCATAGTCTTAGGTGAAATTTTCAAAAAATAAACTGTGTCCGTTGTTCACTTTGGAGCGGGCTGTGATTCAGTGTTGATCAATGAGACGATGTACGTCGGAAAAGGATATTTTCAGTAAATTTATAAGGGATGTAGTATATGTAAACAACTTTTGTCCATCATGAGCAGTGTTGGGAGTAACGCGTTATAAAAGTAACGAATTACAGTAATGCATTACTTTTTGCTGTAACGCAGTAACTCAAGGCATTACAGGGGAAAAATAGTAATATTTTACTCGGTACAAATGTGAGTAACGCGCGTTACAGTGTTTTTTTAACCTGGATTGAAGTGGTGGGTTTTTCTTCATACAAATTCGCTAAAATCACCTCGATATCAGCAGCGGTGAAACGCCGGAGATGCGCCCTCATAGACCTTCAGGTGACCGCGGGCGAAAGGACTGACAAAGAACTCCACGCTGTTTAGACCTGGTTTAGACCTGGGTCAGTTTTGGTTTAGACCTGGTTTAGACCTGGGTCAGTTCTGGTTTAGACCTGGTTTACACTCGTCCCTCCCTCTATCGCAGTTCACTTTTCGCTGTCTCGCAGATTATTTTTATTTATTTATTTTTTGTGCAATTTTGCATGCCCTGTTGTTTTTTTTACATTGTATGAATGCGTATTGCGTTCCTCCCGCTGCGTCCTGACTGGCCAAGGGACTCCTGTCTCCTGTACAGTACAGTACAGAATGTGTTCAGCTGCCAAATTTAAATACATGTTCAATCTGCAGCAGTGTGATTCTGAAGTGCTGTACGGTTGTAAGTTTTCTCCCCGACGAAATCCACAACGTCGACGAAACGTTCTGCACCGACAAAGGCTCCTGCACTCGCACCCAAAAGGCAGAGGAAGATGCAAACCATCACACAAAAAGTTGGACTTCTGGACACGATGAAGGAAGGTAGAAGTTACGCGCTGTAACAGAGTGTTGCACCGGCTCGGGTACCTGCAAATAGTTGCTGAAATCAGGACCGTGAGCCCGAGCAGCAGAGTGTCATAAAGAGCGATCGGGTGACAGCCGCTCTTACTTCCGTGAGGTGCGGAGCAGAGCCGCTCCTTTCTCCTGCGGTCACCTTCGAGCTCATCCCTACAGTGAGTCCTGTTTTAGTCCTAGTTCAGTTCTAGTTTAGTCCTAGTTCACTTCTGGTTTAGTCCTGGTTCAGCTCTGGTTTAGTCCTGGTTTAGACCTGGTTTAGTCCTGGTTCAGTCCATATACAGCACAAAAGTTATTTTGGTGAGAGTAACTTAAAGTAATGCAATAGTAATGTAATGCCTTACATTTTAAATGCAGTAATATTGTAATGTAACAAATTACTTTGAAATGACAGTAATAGGTAATAAATAACGCATTACAGTTTCAAAGTAACTTGCCCAACAGTGATCATGAGTTCAATCAACAGAGTGACAATTCACCGGAAGTAGGCGTGCATAAAGGTCACTGAATGCGGAAGTACTACGTATCAGCGTGATAATAGTCTATTCCAGGGCTGAAATGCTCCAAAGGATTCTAGTGAAGGTGTATGGAGTTTAAAAACAAATAGGAGCACTTCCTGTATTACTCAGTAGAACCTAAATATGTAGGATTTGTGTGTTAAACGTGTGGAAAAACAAACAAACAAACAAACAAACAAACAAACAAAGAAACAAACCCTCCAGGTCTGTTTGTGATGAGGCAACAACATTATAACCTAGATCAATCATAAAATAGTGTAATACAAAATAATAAATAAATAATGAATAAGATTACTGTCCAAGATATTACCAAAATTGGTTTGGTTTAGAAAGATAATACATTACTAATATGAAAGGAAACAAAGAAACCACTCCATTATTGACCAGGTAAACATATTAATATAATATTATGTGCCCAACCTCTTCTTAGTCTTTGTTGTAAAATATAATTCCCCCCAAATCCTCGTCCTGCGTGTTCCTCAACCACTGGCTTTATAAATTAAACACTGCAGACATTCCAACATGGCTGCCAGCCTGGACTCAAACACTCATCTCCGTGGGGCTGGTGTTGTCATGGTAACAGTTTGGCAAAGTCTCGAAACACGGTGACACCTGCCAGGTCGCCTGTCACCTGGTCCAGCTAATGACCGCGACCTGCTTCACCTCCTCCGCCTGGCCTCTCGGTGAAATAACTGACCACTCACCGCAGCCATGGCAACAACAACAACAACAGGGTCAAGTGTGTGTGGAGAAACAGGCAGGAGACCACTGAGGAGGTTACAGCTATTATACCAGGTCTAAAGTAGGACTAAACCAGGTCTAAACCAGGACTAATGCGGGTCTAAATCA